CAGGAGAGGAAGGTCCTCTAGGAGCTGGATTGATTTGGTGACTGGGGTAAGCGGGATGGGTGTGTTGGAGACAGTGACATGATTGGCACAGGACAGAGCAGAGTTGAGGGCTGTTGTACATAGGGGTGCTATGAGTTGCAAATGACTCGACTGCATATAACAACAACAACAACAAGAACAACTTGAAGTAAGGTATGTTGTTATTATGTGCCATCGAGTTGCTTGCGACTCGTAACGACCCTTTGTACAATAGCCCCCAAAACTGCTCTGTCCTGTGCCAACTTTACTGTCTCTGAAACACCTACTCTCATTACCCCAGTGACTGAATCAATTCACTCACTGAGGCTTTTCCTCTCTTGCTCTGTCCCCCTACCCTTCCAAACATGATGTCCTTCTCCAAAGACTGGTCCTTCCTTTCAGCATGCCCAAAGTATGTCAGACGAAGCCTCAGAATCTTTACTTCCAAGTAACAACCTGGTTTCACCTTCTCTAGGATGAACCTATTTGTTGTCTTGGCAGTCCATGGTATATTCAACATTCTTCTCCAGCACCACAGCTCAAAAGCATCAATTCTCTTCCTATCATCCCTAGTCATTTTCTAGCTCTGTGAAGCATAGCATACAATTGTGAAGACTATGGCCTGAATCAGGTGCACCGTGGTCTCCAAACTGACACCATTGCTCTTCAGTACTCTGGAGAGGTCCCTGACAGCAGACATTCCCACTGCAATTCATCTTTTAATTTCCTGGTTGCTGATACCAAGAGTGTTGATTGTGGAGCCAAGCAAACAAAGGCTGTTAATAATCTCAGTCTCTTCACGATTTATCATAATGCTGACAATCAGCCCAGTGGTGAAAATCTTTGTTTTCTTGATGTTGAGTTTCAATCCATATTGAAGGCTACAGTCCTTGACCTTCTTCTGCAGCAAGTACTTCAGGTCCGTCACTGTTTTAGCAGAATTGTGTCATCTGCATAATTCCTCCGTTCCTGACACCACATTTCTCCTCATAGAGCCCAGCTTCCTGGATAATCTGTTCTGCATATATATTGAAAAGGTACAGAGAAGGTTATATCCCTGGTGTACCCCTTTTCTGATTTTGAACCCGCACTGTCTACTTGGTCTGTTCTGATGACTGCCGCCTAGTTCTAGTATAGTTTTCGCATAAACACAATCAAATATTCTGGCATTCCCATTCTTCTCAGAGTCAACCACAATTTGTTGTGATCCACATAGTAAAATGCCTTTTCATAGTCAATGAAACACAGATAACCATTCCTCTGGTACTCTCTTCTTTCTGCCAAGATCCATCTGACATCAGCTGCAAACTCTAGTACCATGGCCTCTTCTAAATCCAACCTGCAGATCTGTCAGTTCTCTGTTGATGTCCTATTCCAGTTATTTTTGGATAATTTTCACCAGAAACTTGCTTGTATGTGATATTAAGGATATTGTTTGATAATTTCCACACTTTGTTGGGTCACCTTTCTTTGAAATGGGAACAAATATACATCTTTTCCACTTGGCCAGGTGGTTATCCTCCAGATTTCTTGGCACAATTTAGTGAGTGCATCCAGGGCAGCAGCTGTTTTTTGAAACATGTCAATTGGTATGCCATCAATTCCTGGGGTATACTTGAAGTGTAAATAACATCAACAACAATAAAGAAATTTTGGACAGTTATTGGAATCACAATAAATCTGCAGATTATTTTGGGAGGCATTGAAATTTTTACAGTAGTCTTATCTGAGAAGGTGAAATGATTCTCTTTAAACTTTTTAAAATTCTGTTCTTTGTTTTTCTCCTCTTGCATATTTACTTGAAAGATTATTTCTTATATTGTTTTGTCTGTAGTTTTAAATTTCGACACGTTATTAGTTATTCATACTTTTGGAATTCTCTCTTTCTCATTTATTTCCACCCTTTGAAGCCTGGCACATTAGAACAAGCGATGTTGGATGCCTTAGTGATGGATCGGGTGGATTTTGTGAAACTCTTGATAGAGTATGGAGTAAACCTCCATCGCTTTCTTACTATCCCCCGACTGGAAGAGCTCTACAATACTGTAAGTACCACAACTTTTGGTCCTTTCAACACTCTGGAGATTATTAATTAGCTTAAGATTTAGCATCTTTAAATTTCATATTCAAAGGTAGTTGCTGTTTTTGTTGTAATCAACTCAACTCTGTCAAGTTGAGTGAGTATGACCCATAGTGATCCTATGGTTATAGTGACATGGAGATATGTATTTCCGAAAGGAGAAATAGTCTTATCAGTTCCATTTTATCTCTGATCATTTTTGTATTTTTTTGTTTTAATTAAGACACCTTTGAAGTTTTTTTTTGTTGGTTTTTTTGGTGTTTTTTTTTGTTTTATTTTAATAAAGCACCTTTGATGCTCGGTAATTATACAGAATAGAGGCATAAACAAAAATATACTACTAAAATCTCACCCCAAACCCAGTGCTGTGGAGTCATTTCCAGCTCACAGTGTCCCTCCATCTGCTTTCTGAGACTGGAAATCTTTGTGGTAGGAGCCAGCCAGTTTTCCATAGGAGCTCCTGATGGTTTTGAACTGCCAACTTTTTCATTCTGCAGTCTGAAAAGGAGTACTTAAAGCTGAAGTGTAAATAAGGCCAAATGGATTTATTTGAGTTATTGAAAACATATCAACCTAAGGCCACTGCTAAAACTCTTTTTGTTGTAAATATTGTATGCAAGTTTTTATTGAAACTAATTTACTCATTGTGAAAACACCAAATGCTCAAAATATATATTCTTTGATTTCTTTGAAATTTATCTTTTCTTCCAAACTTGATTCAAGTCCTATTTTCTTTGCTACCTACTTTTGTCTCTTTAGTACTAGTCAGTTGTAACATTTTTTGAGTGTTTACATTTTCATATTATTGTGAAAAATCAGACTGCAAACATTCTAAGAAGGAAGGGCTTACTTATATTCTTAATTCCTTAAGGATCTGATTGAACACAATGTTTAATAAAAATTTTCTTCTAGAACAAAATTGTATCATAAAATAGATTAAGATGAGAAAGTTTATATGTAATAAAGGATAGATTACGTAATAATTCTCTCTGTACCACTTGTCCCTTAAATAAACTCCATCTCTTTCTTACACACACACACACACACACACACACACACACACACACACACACACATTTTGGTTGGAAAAATATTTCAATCTAATTGTATCTTTTGAGACATAGCTTCCTCAGAGTTAATTGATCTTAAATGTCATGGGTAAAGATTTCGTGCAAGACAGGAATACCCTGCATGGGATGGATTGACCCAGTGATTGGGGTAATGGGCTTGGTGTGTCAGAGGCAATGAGGTTGCCTCAGGATAGCGCAGGGTTCAGAGCTGTTGTGCATAGGGTCGCTATGAATTGCAAGTGACTCAACGGCATGTAGCAACAACAACAAAGATGATGAAGAAAAATTTTCTTATGTGGGTTATTTTTGCATACTGAAGTAATTCCTCCTTAACACATGGTAATTTAAGGGAATAATTCTTCCTTTTGTTTATTACAGAAACAAGGACCTACTAATATGGTCTTACGTCATCTTATCCGAGATGTAAAACAGGTAACCTAATTACAAAGGTGTGAGCATTTTTTCCTGGGTTGCTTTAGCTTGTGATAGAGATGTCACCAGATTTTGTTTTGTGAAATGTAATTTTGGATTTTTTTTTTTTTTTTGTGAATTTTCGGAATCTCTGAAAATGTCTCTTTTTTTTTAGCCGTTTCTTTACTCGATCACACACTTATATTTTCACCCTGATTTACTTTATGCTACTCAAGATTTGATTCACCAAGTAAGGGGCTTTAATCCATAATTATTTCCTTTGAAAGTCTTGAATCAGAGACATGCAAAACATGCAATCAGAACTCCAGTTCAACATGATACCACGTTACTGTCACTGAGTGTAACAAAGCCGGCTGAAAACATAGACAGTTGATGGTGCTGTTCTCTTTTTTTTTTAAGAACAACAACAGGATTTCAATCATTCATAGTGTTTTGCATATATATTGGCAATAGTTTGTGGCTTTATCATATTACCTTTTTTTAAAAAAAAAGTAGTTCTCAGGAAATAGGATTGAGCTCACTGCTCTCTCTACCTTTTACTCATGTATTGTTTATGGTGCTTTATTGGGTTAGATTACTCTTTGATCTCTCATTAGTTACCCGAACTTTCCAGGCTTGTTAGTCTTTGTGCCCTAATTTCTTCTCTTTCAGTTAAACTGAGGTTTTACTTACATCACAGAAAATTGAGAGTACCTTTTGTCACCATCCATCCAAATGTATTTTAAGTAGTTTTTCTCTCATATATTTTAAAATTACCGTTTTTCTTTTTAATTTTTTTAAATTACCATCTTTCTAAAGTGTAATTTTGGAGTGAGAGTGTGGGCTTCCTGGGTATGTCAACTTTGTAGGCAGGTGAAGATATTTGTCAAATTTATAATAAGCAAAAGTGGCCATATTGTTGTAAATTTAGTTTGTATTGACTTAAAAGAGCTCTGTTGGCTTAGTGGCAAGGAGTTGCACTGCAAACCCAAAGGCACACAGTTTGAATCCATTAGCTGCTTTGCAGGAGAAAAATCGGCAATATCCTCCCATACAATTTAACCGCCTCTGAAAAGCCACTGGAGGGTCAACTATGAGTTGGTTCTGATTCAGTGGTGCACAACAACAGCAGCTGCTTCTGGAAAGATTACAGCTTTGGAAACTTTCTGGGCTACTTCTCTGTACTTCGAGGTTACTGTAAGTCTGAATTGATTGGATGGTGGTCACCTTGGGGTTTTGGTTATATTAAAATGACTGTCCTAAAATGATTTCCTTAAACACTGATTCTATCACAGTACAAAACAGAAAAGGGAATGAAATGATTGGATATGCTTTGAACCAGCAGCAAGTAAGAGCATTGTTTTTAGCATTCCTTCAAGAGAGTAAATTCAAATGTGAAAAGGGAGGTGAATGACCTACACAAGGGTGTGTACAAAATAAAACAATATCTCTTGTCCAAGACTTCATTTGCATTATTCACAAGTCACTTATTTCAGAGAATATATTCAGTATATTATGCAACACTCAGGACAGGAAAAAATTCAGAGCTGCTGTACATAAGGTCACAGGCAACTCAATGACATATAACAGCAAAAACATATTATCTTGGTTGGTTGGGTTTTTTTTTTGTTTTGTTTTTTTAAATTTATCTAAGCCTCTTTTTTAGAGTCAACAAGACCTCAGTGAGAGCCTTTGTATTTAAAAGTCGATTGTTATTATACTTTGGAGGAACATTCTTCTAAGTGGTACAGTACTCTTCTTTCAGTATGCTGTACTGAGGTAACCTGGGGTTGCTGTGATGTAGAACCTTGTGTCACTGGAGTGTCAAATGCCATAACAGTTTCCCATGGTGGCCAGTGTTAGGTGGAGCTCCCAGTTGAAGACAAGTTTGGAAGCAGGAGTGACATCCACTTCCTAAACAACATGCTTCTGGAAACTCTATGAACTTTGATAAATGATACCCATAGCCCCCAGTGGGCACTTAATTACCTCTGAGAGCATCCTATCCCTACTGCCCTCAATTCTCCTTCTGCACCAGCATCTGAGGGAGACTGTGCTCCATTCTCCTTCCACAGCTGGTAAAATGTTATGCAATATAAACATCCTTTCTATGCACATATGGAGGTCAGCTGGTCAGGAACCTGGTCCAGGACCTTAGTAATTGTTACTGCCAGATGTACATCCTTAATGCACAGACAGTTGAATAGTAGATATTCCACTATTGAAAATTAGAAATATCACAAAACAAAACAAAACAAAACAAAAAGAAGAAATATCACAAAACAAGATAGCTGGAAAATGAGCAGCAGATGTATTCTTTTCAGTAAAAATGAGTGGTTAATTTTTATTTGTATGTATTTTATTTTAAATTGTGCAAATGTATCTACAAGAAAGAGATTTTCAAAGGGTAGAGCTAAAACAAAGAAGGGTAATTGTTGTTGTTGTTAAGTGTTGAGTTGAGGACGACTCATAGCGACCCTATGAACAGAAGGCCTGAACCTTGTTGTATAACTGTTGTTTCTCTAAGTTTATAGAACTTTCCGGAGGCAGGCTGTTTAGGAAGTGGATGCCACTCCTGCTTCCAAGCCTATCTTCATTTGGGAGCTCCACCAACCACTGTCTACCATTGGTAACCATTGTCATTTGACCCACGAGTGGCACAGTGTTCAGCATCACAGCAACCCCAAGTTACCTCAGTACAGAAAATTGACAGACTAGTGCTGTACTATTTAGAAGACTATTTATCCCAAACACAATTAACGCCAACAGACTTTAAAATACAAAGGCCCTCAGCCAGGTCCAGGTCCGGAATGACACCAAATGAGAGGCTTCTAGCCCACGGCTCATTGTTAGCTTAATCCAGCAAATCCAATGAGCTCACACACAATTGTGAATGAAATAAAACCAACCAAACAGACCACACTGGAGCCTCAACCAAAACAAGAGAACCCACCTTCCAGAATCCAACCACTTCACACATCAGCCTCTAAACTAGAGACTTAGGTAGAACTATACTTTTTTTGTCTTTTAAAGAAAAAAAAATTGAGATTAACTATCTTATTTTCATTGAGTCAGACATTATACTAATACCCACAGCTGTTGAGCTTATTCCAAGTTAGAGTGAGTTGATAGAACAGAATAGAATTCTCCTCTATGGCTGTAAATGTTTACAGAAGCAGGCTTCCACATCTTCCTCCAATGAGTTAAAACTGTTAACCTTTTAGTTAGCAGCTGAAGGCTTTAGCCACTATACCATGAGGGCTTTATTGTTGTGTCAGTAGCCAATCATATTATTTAATCAGTTTGTAAAGATGATTGAAAAACCCGAGTCTACTCCTTAAGGTTGATTTGGTTATGTGCTCATGGAAAAGTCAAAGAGATAGGAAGAGAACGAAGACTTATCACTTGTGACCTTTCCTTGTTGTTGCAGAATACCCTTCTCTCAGGCTACAGAATCACACTGATTGACATTGGACTGGTAATTGAATACCTCATTGGTGGAGCGTATCGTAGTAGCTATACTAGAAAAAATTTCAGAGCCCTGTACAACAACCTCACCAGAAATAACAAGGTAGCATAAATACAAAATACCTTAGTAATATTTAGGATAATTAAGACTTTCAATTCTAAAGAGAAAATTATTTGAGACGTTCAAATGAGATTACCTTCTAACACGGACATTCTGTCTGAATGTCTGCATACTGGCTTCAGACAGACATAAAGATCAGGAGTTTAGAAAACAGAGGGAACTGATTTATGCATGACGTAGTAGAGTTAGTGCTATCTTATATATTTTCTATATAGATCCTATATGTTCTATGTAGAAGTAATGTGATGAGAAGGGAGTGCTGGTGGCCTAGGACAGTGGTGCCTTGCTGGTGGTTTCAATCCACTTGAGGCTCCACGGGAGAAAAAGAAGCGATCTCCTCCTATTCAGTTTACAACCTCTCAAAACCCACTGGAGAGCTAGCTATGACTTGGTTTGGAATGTGATGAGCAAGGTTAGAAGGAGCCAGTGGATTTGAACCATTCACCTTTGCCTATGCAACTCCCTACCAACTAGGCCATCAGAAGAAATAAATAAAATCTCTAAGAGTCCAGATTCCTGATAATGGAGAGTATAGAGTAACTTTAATAATAATAGTAATTATGATTATTACTATAATGAAACTAGTAATTTTATACCATTCTACTATTGTTAGTTTGATTATTAGCTTTAAGAAAGCTTTGATCTCATTACTTCTGTTGAATTTTTATCCATATAACACAAACTGAAAATAAAGCAGTTGAAGTCTTATGGCTTGGTATCATACTTTATTCTTTAAAAGAATACTTTCTTATGGTTTCTCACTGATAAGAACTTTATGATGGTAACAGTGAATTATATTGCTGTTGGACCAGCCACTGGAATTCCAATGTGTTGTATTACATAACACTTAGAGAAATTCTGGTAGCTTTCTAATGTAACCTTAACCTTGGAACTGTTTGTAGGTATGGACATTTTTTTCTTATCAGAACTGTGGATCTTTATTGCTTACTCAGAACTTGTCCTAGGCATATAGCATCTTTTTCCAATAGAATTTCCACATAGAGAAGGACTATCTCAGACAAGTAATAGGGAACAAGAAAGCATGTGCTCTTAGATATTAAGATATAACAGTGTACTTAATAAGAAGGAGGCTTTTGTTAGTTGAACCTTCCTCCAGGGATATTATTAAATCATTGATGAATGGTAGAACCCAACATTTATTTGATTCTCTTTATTCTCAGAAAGACGACATTGATTATTACAACTGTAATTTTATTTTCCCCATTTTGTCTTATTTTAAATATAAATAACATATACCAGGTTGTGACCAGCTTAGCTCAGAGCCTTTCCCAGCCCTCCCTTCACCGGAGACGCTCTTCAGGAAGTAGAAATGTGTCCGTGGAAAGCACACTGCATTCTCAATTCATCCGAACAGCCCAGCCTTACAAACTCAAGGTACCATTGATTTGCTTTTAGATATAAAAATAGCTGTAATTTTGCTGAGATGATTTTTTTCATTTAATGTTATATAAAAGGAGGTCCAGATAGAGGGACCATTTATCAATCCCATAAACAAATGGTTCAAGTCAAGAGCATAGCACAACTATTCTCTAATAACAATAAGCAAAGGCTCAGGACAGCATTGAAGCAGCAGAATGATTGCCTGCACTGGATGGGATCTGAGCCTCTCTTCCTGTTTCTGAGTTCGTCAAGTCCTGTGGGTGACTCAGGTTCATAGACTGGTACCAAACATATAACTAGTGCAATGCCAAATCTTTTATTTACCTCTCCCCAAAGTTATTTGATGTTACACTTTCCTTTTCCTTCATTCTCTCTTCAAATTTGCTCTTCTCCCCTCACTTATGGCTTTCTTGAAATTAATTATAGCTTAAAGTTACAAGTGTGGCAATGAGAGAATACTTAAGTGTATATATGCAAGAGCAACATTGTGTTTCCCCATGTCCCTGTGTCCCCTTAAGCCCACTTTCCTAATGGATGAATATTTTGTTCAAGAGTTTACATATTAATGCCTACTGTATTGGCCCATAAAAGAAAAATATTAAAGCTGTCAACTATTTCATTTTACTTAACTCTGGTTAACACCTGTGGTAGCAGCAGTCAGTCAAGAACTCAAAAAACATATTGCATTGTGAAAATCTGCTGTCATGGACCTCTCTAGAGTACAAAAGGGCAAGGATGTCAGTTTAAAGACTAAGATGCACCTGATTCAAGTCTTGGTATTTTTATTTGTTTACTGTGTTTCTGAAAGTTGGACAATGATAAAAAGCTATGCTACAATCCCACAGAAATGCATTTCAAATCCACCAGCTCCTCCATGGAAGAAGGATGGGCAGTCTCTTTCTGTTTAAGTAACTGCTTTTGAAATCCTGATTGAGCTATGAGTTGGTTCTGACTTGATGGCATACAACAACATCATGAATCTGAAAGTAGGACAATGAATAAGGAAGACCAAATAAAAATTGATGCTTTTTTAAAAAAATAGTCTTTTTTAGTTTTATTATTTTTTTGTGTGTACCATCAAATCAGATCTGACTGGTACAGGAGGAGATTGCCCCTCATTTCCAGCAGAGCATCTGGTGGATTCGAACTGTGTACCTCTGAGATTGCAGTGCAGTTTCTTGCCACTAGGCCACCAGAGCTCCATAGAATTGAAGCTTTTGAATTGTGGAGACGACAGAATGTTTAATGGACTGTCAATAAAACAAAAAAAAAATCTATCTTGGAAGAAATGCAACTAAGGTGCTTCTTAGAGGCAAGGATGATGAAACTTAGTCTAACATATTTTGAGTATGTTTTTATGAAAGGTTAGTCCTTGGAAAGCTACATCATTTTGGGAAAGAGAAAGAGAAGGACTCTCAATAAGGTGGGCTGACATAGTGACTGCAACAACAGGCTTGAGCATGAACCAAATGGTGACAAGGTTCATACCTGTTGTTTGTAGGGTTGCTATGAGTGGTAGTCAATTTAACAGTCCATAACAACAACACGTGGGTTCAAAGATGTCTTTCACAGTACCTAGGATTAAAATATATTTTATAAATTTACTCTTGGCAGTCATTAGTGAACACAGATTCCTTTTATTTTTAGAGATGGAAGACAGTAACGTTTTTATAATAGTATTTTTAATTCCAAATAGTAATTATTTAGTATTTATTATTTGCCGGCATTACACTAAACAATTGGTTGTATTTAGAATGCACATAGGTAGGGGGAAAAATAGTGATGGCCAAGACACGGTTCCACCTTCTTTTTCAAAGTAGTAATTATGATGCATTATCAGCATACAATATGAAATAGGAGTACATGGGGAGTAAGAGAATGGCATATGAGCTGAAATTAAAAAGGCAAGTTTACCAAGTGAAAAATGTAGTTTATTATTATATAATCATTACTAGAGGAATAGAATCAGAATAAAGGAAATAGAACTCAAACCTGTCTAATTTGATGCAAGTGAGCAGTATTTGTAGCATTTTACTAGGGAGAAGATAATGAATCTATTTATTAGGTCAATTAGAGTCTTTTAGCCAATAAATTATATTTCAACCTGTTCACTTGAGTACATAAAGGATTCTGTTTTAATTTGTGTTAGATAAACTCACTGCATCTCAGCTTAGGGCACACTGGATTTACCAAATGCAATTTAAAGGGAGAAGAGTGGGAATCCCAGAACACTTGATCGTGCTAATGTGAAACTATACTTGGACCAGGAGCCAGTTGTCAGAACAGAGCAAGGAAACACTGCATGGCTCAAAATTGGGAAGGGTGGGCACCAGGAATGTGTCCTATCTCCATACCTTTTCAACCTATATGCAGAACAGATTATAGGGGAGGCTGGGCTCTGTGAGGAGAAGTGGTATCAGAATTGGAGGTAGATTTATCAACAATCTGTGTTATGCAGATGACCCAACCCTAGTTGTTGAAAGTGAGGAGGACCTGAAGCACTTGCTGAAGAAGGTTAGGGACTGCAGCCTTCAATATGGATTGAGGCTCAATATCAAGAAGACAAAAATTCTCACCACTGGACCAATTGGCAGCATCAGTATGGATGGTGAGGAGATTGAGATTGTTCACAGCTTTGCTTGGCTCCAAAGTCAACATTCTTGGCACCAGCAGCCAGGAAATGAAAAGACGCATTGTGCTGGGAAAGTCTGCTATTAGGGACCTCTCCAAAGTACTGAAGAACAATGATGTCAGTCTGGAGACTAAGGTGTGCCTGATACAGGCCTTGGCCTTTGCAATCACTTGCTATGCCTCAGAGAGCTGGACAACGACTAGGGAGGATAGAAGGAAAATTGATGCCTTTGAGCGGTGGTGTTGGAGAAAAGTATTGAATATTCCATAGAGTGCTAAGAAAATGAACAGGTTCATCCTAGAGAGGGTGAAACTGGGCTGCTCCTTGGAGGCAAGAATTCTGAAGCTTCGTCTGACATACTTTCGACATGTTGTAAGGAGAAGGATGTCATGCTTGGAAGGGTGGAGGGACAGGGCAGGAGAGGAAGGTCCTCTATGAGGTGGATTGATTCAGTGACTGGGGTATTTGGGGTAGGTGTGTTTCAGATAGTGAGATTGGCACAGGATAGAGCAGGATTTAGGACTGTTGTCCATAGATAGGGTGCTTTGAGTCACAGGCAATTCGATGGTACATAACAACAACAACAACAACAACAACAACAAATATTGGTTTATATAGTCTTACTCTTATATTTTTTTTAAATGTTGATTTTGAAGGGGCATCTCCAAGAAGCATAGTCTATGTGTTTCATTCGGTTAAGTAAAGCATCATACACATGAGAATTTGGAAACTCATTCCTACTTCATTTCCCCACAGGAAAAGTCGATAGCCCTTCATAAATCAAGGAAGAAATCAAAAGAACAAAACATGTTAGAGGACCCCGAGTCTACTGGGTTTATTTACCCTTACAATGACCTGCTGGTTTGGGCTGTGCTCATGAAAAGGCAGAAGATGGCAATGTTCTTCTGGCAACACGGCGAGGAGGCCACGGTCAAGGCGTTGATTGCTTGCAAACTCTATCGCGCAATGGCCCATGAAGCTAAAGAGAGCAACATGATGGATGATGCCTCTGAGGAGTTGAAAAATTACTCAAAGTAGGAGTTCTCTCTTCAATTCATAGTAAACATCGCCAGTTCTTAGAATGGTTAGACACTTTTATCTCCCTCAATTAATACTTGTGAGTGGACTTATTACTGTGTGTCTCATTGGCTTTCCTGTGAAAAGAATCCTTAAGTATTTTGAGAGATTTGTGGAATAAAAGGAAAACTGGTAGCCTTCAATTCAGGAGACTTGAGGTGCTAGTCTCAGTATAGTTGTTTGCTAACTGACAAGTCAGCTGACCTTTCTTGTCTAAAGTTTCCTACTGCAAAATATGCAATGAATGATTCTCACTGAAAGTTTCTAACAACTCCCAAATTCTTTGATACTCAGTTAAAATGCCTGTTTAAGTACCTCAGGTGAGAATACACACACAGGACATTCTAGAACCAGAGAGTGACAGCAGATATATAAAAGTTGTGCTTTTCTTAAATTATTAAAAGTATTTGTGATTTTAAGAATGTTTATTAGTGAGAAAAGAAGGGAAGCTGAGTTAATGGAAATTGATTCATGACTTTGAGGGGATAACATTTTCGGAAAAGGAGATACTTTTTTACTTTTAAGAGGAAACAGCTTCATGAAAATTCATAAGGTGAGAAGACCGACCGAGTGTTCCCAGGTCTGACTTCTTCCTCACTTTCTTCTGGATTTTGTAAAGATCTCCAGAATGGATCATATTTCTAAAAACCTTCAGAAAATATTGTTTCTATAATTTTCCTTAATTGTTTAAATCCCAGCCCAAAATATCTACAGCTCACTGTGCCATGTGGAATGGGCTTCTCCCCATGAATAAGGCAGGTCTTTCTGGTGCAGTACTCTGTGTTACAGTTTTCTGTGTTACAGAATGTCCACTCCAGTCCTACTTCTTCAGAGTATTAAGAACTGCTGAGTGGCAATCCTTCTAAAACAACATCTGTAAACTGTCTGTTTTTATCAATGATAATTAATTGATCTCCCCCACCCCCGAGTCATATATCCAGCCTTCTAGTATGTTTTTTGAAGCTCCCACCTGTATTGGTTTTTTACCTGTCATTACAGACAATTTGGCCAGCTTGCCCTGGATGTGTTGGAGAAGGCATTTAAGCAGAATGAGCGAATGGCTATGAAGCTGCTGACGTATGAACTCAAGAACTGGAGCAATTTGACGTGCTTGAAACTGGCTGTATCTGGAGGGTTGAGACCCTTTGTCTCACATACTTGTACCCAGATGCTTCTCACTGACATGTGGACAGGATGCCTAAAAATGAGGAAGCACTCCTGGCTAAAGGTAACTTTACTGGCCTTATGGAGTTCAGTCTTTGTTTAGTCTAAAGTTCTGTATTCTTGAGTTCTATTTTCCAGTTGTTCCAGAAGTGTGCTAGTTAGTATTTCTACTTTTCATAGGTGAGCTGAGGCTTCTTAGCTGTGGAGCCTCTGACAACTACTCTGTCTTCCACTCTGCAGTTTTCTTTAAAAAGTACCAGGAGATGCCTGATATCTGTTCTGTCTACCACAAAGGCATATTCAACTGGAGGGGTTCAGAAGATAAAAAAGCATATGCTAACACACAAGTTTTTGCTACTTTCCAACTCCTTTAGCCCTGATAATGGTAACATCAGTAATTGAGACTTTTTAGTGGCATTTTATTTCTTCCCTTAAGATAAGAAACTAAATAGAAATACTGATTTTGGTTGTTCTGGTCTGTGGGAGGAAGATGGAAATCTCCTGCTGTGAGTTTTATAGCCTCTCAAAATTTGATGGAGAGATCAGCTATAAGTTATGTTAAGGGAGCCTTGATCTGTTTTTTCCCCCATAATATCCTTCTTCAGGTACTGGTATCTCCTGATAACATGCTCAAAGGCTATGCGACAAAGTCTCACTGTCCTTGCTTTCTCTTAGAAGGAGCACTTTTTCCAAGACAGATTTGTTTGTTCATTTCCCAGTGCATGGATTTCGGGCGATAAATGTCTACATCACACGCATCTGTTCGCAGCAATAACTATCTCTGTTGTTGTTACTATATACTATCAAGTTGCAGTCGACTCATAGCTGAACCTCCAGGGAGTTTTCAGAGGCAGGAAGTTGCAATGGAAAACATTGCTTATCTTTCTCCTGCATAGCAACTGGTGGATTTGAACTATGTGCCTTTGAATTGACAATGCAGCTCCTTACCACTAAACCATCAGCGCTCCCTTTGACCTCTCTAAGTTCTCCTGTTTCATTACACCTCAGCCTTATTTCTCAATCCTGAGTAATCAGGTATAATTTAGGTCACCAAGGACATCTTCTCTTTGACTTCAAAGCTTTAGGCAAGATCAAGCTTAAAATTGGCACGTGCTTATGTGGTAGAATTAAAAGAAGAAAGTATAAACATTAAGAAGATTTTTTTTCTTTTTTTTTTTTTCCCAAGGAAAAGCAAATCCGACTTTCTTGCCTTGCAAGGCCATATTGTTGTTGTTGAAAACCCTTGAGTTGTAACTGACCCATAGCTGACCCTCCAGTGGGTTTTCAGTGGCTGTAAACCACACAGAAGGGAATTGCCCATATTTCTCCCACAGAGCATCTGGGGGATTCAAACTGTGTACCCTAGGCTATACTAGCTACATAAAAATTCTTTTGAAAAAGATTGTGAATTCATGAGTGATAGTTGTTTTTAGGTGTTGTTGAGTCACCTACAACTCATGAACCTATGAACAACAGATCTAAACCCTGTTCTATCCTGTACCATGTTTATCATCCTCAACCCACTTAGGCCCATTGTAGCAGTCACTATATACACCCATCTCAATGAGGGTCTTCCTTTCCTTTACTGATCCTCCATCTTTCCAAGCATGATGTCCCTTTCTAAGGAATAGTCTCTCCTAACAACATGCTCCAAATATGTGAGATGAAGCTCTACCATCATTTCCTCCAGGGAATACTCTGACTGCACTTTTTTCAAGGTTTATCTGCTCTTTTTGCAGTCCATGGGATAATCAGTATTCCTCTCTAACACCATAGCTGAAAGGCTCAATTCTTCTTCTGTTATCCTTATCCAGCTCTAAGACACATAGCAGGTGATTGAAAAAACTATGTTTGAAGTCAGGCACACCACAGTGTTTAAACTGACATCATTGTTCTTCAGAATTGTGGAAAAGTCCCTGACAGCATACTGTGTCAGTGTTATATATCTTCTGATCTCATCTGTTGGTATCAACAATGTTGATTGTGGATCCACATTAAGATGAAATTCTTGAAATGTCAGTGTTTGTCTATCATGATGTTGCCTATAGACCCAGTAGTGGTTTTTGCCCCCTTGATGTTGAAATGGAATCTATATTGAAGGCTGTAGTCCTAGATCTTCTGTAGCAAGTGACTCAAGTTCTCTTTGCTTTCAGCAAGCAAGGTTGTGTCACTTGCAACAAATTGCTGGTGAGTCTTATTCCAATCTTGATGCTACATTCTTCATAAAGTTCAGCTTCCTGAAGATTTGCTTAGCATAAAGACTGAATAGATGTGGATGAAGAATACAGCCCTAACACACTCCTTTCTTGATTTTGAATTGTGCTATGTTCCCTTGCATTTTGAATTGTGCTATGTTTGGACAACAGTTTTTTTTTTCCAGTTTTCATAAAGATCTATTTAATTATTGGTGGATAGCGCATTTAACAGTTAAATACATTTAAATTACGTTTGGTTGCAGCATTGTACAGGGCTGCAGCATTGGTAACTAGACTGACAACCAATTCAACTAGAAACAAGTAACTGTCTAAATATTTAAAATACAGTTCTTGTTTAGATTATCCTTTGTTTTGATCACCTTTGTGAGGAGAGTGGAGAGCCTGCTGGTCACAATGGAAATATATTAAGGCCAAATCTTCTGATATCTGATATCTGTTCCCAGAGGTGTCTTCAGCTGGATTAAGCCTCCTACTCCTGGGCAAGCCCAAGTTTGTGGCCTCTGGCATTAATGTTCTTCCCATCTACAAGATCTGACAGTGTAAGCTTCACATCAGACCTCAGAGTGTAAGCGTATGTAGCCCACTCCAATTAAACTAGAGTTGTTGACCTTTGCAGAAATGGAAGCAATGGGATCCAACTGGTATTTAGCAGCAATGCCAAAGCAAATGCAGTTGGTTCCTGATGTCCAAGCCAGGCTGACCGAAGTGTCAAGATCTTCACACACTTTCTGATAAATTGATCCACCAAATTCTGTCCCATCATTGACATTAATGTGTAACTGGAAGTCCCTGGTCTGGTAGCTCACAGCAAAGTTATTCCTTGTCAGCTTTGATTTGGCACTGTCGAAGGTCATCTGGTATTCAGTGAGCCAGCCCTCGTAACCAAAGACAGCTGAATCATAGATTACAGGACCAGCAAAGTCAGCCCATACTCGTACCATTTATATTTGGTCTCCAAGGTCCCAGTAGCTTTACCAGTGTCAGTATTCGATGAACCAGATGTTGAAAATTCCACTCCATTGCATGACTTTGTTTTCACATCTAATTTCACCAATCCAAAACCAAATCCTTTGTTGAAAATATCTCTGGCAGCTTTACCAAGGTCAGCATAGGATGGAGAATTGGACTGTGGCTGCGCGTAGCTCTGCCAGTGGGTCACCATGGCGAGACGAGGAAAGAGATAGTGGTCTCCTGAGAAGCCCACCACGCTGCTCTGCTCTCAGCGGAGGCTGCCCGGCTCGCTCAAAGCCAAGCAGCCTCTGTTGCGGCTGGAGGGCGAGGTGAAGGAGACACCATTCTGCCCGCCACAATACTCTGGACAACAGTTTCTTAGTGACAAGCATAAATGTTCTGGACTTCCCATTCTTCTCATTGTTAACCATAATTTGTTATGATCTACACAGTCAAATACCTTTAAAAAGTCATAGATAAACATTTTTCTAGTATTCTCTGCTTTCAGCCAGGTATTTCTTCTGAATATTCTTCATATGTACTCGTTTTAAAAATTTTATATTGTTTTGCATACAACATTTGATTATGTTATGTTTCAGTCATGTACATTGAATTTCACATATCCCTTCATTTACATTGTGTTTCATTTATTTGAGCGTTACCATACAGTGTGCTTTGAAAATTAATCAGCATTTATTCCAATTATCACCCTGTCTTTTCAGGCCCCCACTAGATTCGCCCTAATTAATCCCCTCCCTTTGCCCAACAAACCCTGCGACCGTGTGATTAATCACTACCCCTTCTCCACTGTCAGAACCTCTTGTTCCGCTCCCTTTGCCCCCTTGGACTTTAATCCACATCTTAGTAGTTATCCTTTTATTTTTACAACAATGATCTTATGCAAACTGACTTAGTTTACTCAACATAATCCTCTCTAGCTTCTTCCATGTTTTTTAGTATTTTACAAAATTGTTGCTCCTGAGTAATACATAGTATTCCACTGTGTGAACGTATCACAATTTGTCAACCCATTTGTTTGTTTATGAACATTTGTTCTTGCTATTGTGAATAACACTGCTGTGAACATTGGTGTTTACATGTCCATTTGTGTCTCAGTTCTCATTTTCTCAGGGAATATTCCTAGCAGTGGAATAGCTAGGTCATATGGGATTTCTATGTTCAGCATTTTTAGGAAACATGAATCTGTCATCTAGTATGATTGTACCCTTTTACAGTCCTCTGCCAGCAGTGTCTGAAAGTTCCCATCTCTCCACATCCTCTCCAACATTTATTACTGCTGTCCTATTAAACTTTGTCATTGCTACTGGGGTGAAATGGTATCTCACTGTGGTTTTGATTTGCATCTCATTGCCAGAGATTTTGAGCATTTCTTCATGTGTCAGTTCGCTATTAGAAAATCTTCCTTTGTGAAAAGTCTTTCTATGCCTTTTGGCCATTTTATAATTAGGTTACCAGTCTTTACTTTGTGGAGGCCCTGTAGGATTCTGTTAAGCTTTGTTATGAGATCCTTGTCTATTTTTTCCCTAATTAGTAGGTTTTCTTTTCACCATATTGGAAAAAGTTCTTTTTTCTTTCTCTTTTGTTTTATACTATACAAAGTTAATAATGTTCATATACATAGTTTTCACATGGGACCTTTCCCCTTTCCTTTACCAATCTCTCCATCTACCCATCAAATTGTGTGACCCCATAATTAAGTGCCCCCACCCCCGCATCCTTGTACTCATTCTGCAATTATGGTCTTATGCAGTATTTGTCTTTATGAGACTGAGCTAGTTCACTTAGCATAATGCTTTCCAGTCCCTCCCAAGTTAGGTGGTAATTCACAAAATCATTGCTCCTGCATGCTGCATAGTATGTATCGCATGAATATACC